AAGTGCTTCAGTCCCATAAAGTAACCCTCGCATAAGGATTGCACTATTCCTTACCAAAGCCCTGAGGTGTTTAAGAGTCTCCTGCAAAGGACCAAAAGGTGAGAGTTTGGTTGAGTGTTCTTTCCATTCATCAGATAGCTTCCTAAGAACAGAAACGCTGGCTTCCACATTCTCTGAATGAAGCTTTTCCTGATTTACAAAAATGTGACAATGTCAAAACCATAAGAAGAATAGAATCATAAGCATATATAAGCTCGACAAAGGGGCGGAATCAACTTCATTCTCGAGGGGAGGAAAATTATCAAATATTTAAGTTCTATAAATATTGGGCAAAAAATTTAGAGGTCGGGCAAAATTACAAAATTGCTTAAATTATATAGAAAAAACTACTAAATTTTCTATGCTTAATATGGAAATCTCAAATTTAAATTGGTTCGGCCGCTAAGTGCACAAAAGGAACAGTAAGAAGCGCTCACCCATTGCTTATAGCAGTCTAAATTTTGAGCCAAACACCAAATAAAAATACTAGCAGCCTCTCTCGTTAACGACGAATTATCTGAAAAACAGGGACCGGATTGTAATTATTATATGAAGAGACTATATTATAGTCTTTTAGGACTGCATGCTTTGAAGAAGGTAAAAATGGAAAGGAGTAAAACCTAATATGCAGAAGCAATGCACAAGACTTACTTTCCTGTAGTGCCTTAGCAGCATATGGCAATATCTGTTGTGAAGCTTGTTTTGTAGCTTTGGAACCTGGAGAACCAGCAAGCGCCAGCTCCTTCAGGGTTGGATAAAGAGCTTCTAACCTGTCTGTAGCCTGCAGGGAATTAGGGTTAAGCGCAAACATTTAGAACAATGCTTTCTCAAAAAAGTAAGAAGAAAACTTGAATTATGAAAGGAGTATTTACATACATACCACCCGATTCTTATATATTTACATATCCAACATCGAAACTATATGCTTCACATTTATATCACCCAAAAATTTTCCATCAAATAAAAAATACCACAATTTTAACTTTTAAAAAGGTGAAATACACCTTTTCATGCATAGGTAAGGTAGCATGTGTAAAAATTGAAGTTTAGATGTCAGATATGTAAATACACTGGAATTGAGTAGTATGTATGTGAATCTCCCATTATGAAAATGAACCTTCACTCGAGCAGAAGGTATAGGAAAGGTAGCCCGCATCACTAAATCAAGTGCAAAAGGAGGAACAATGCGTTCTCCTTTCCTAACAGCACCATTTATTAGAATTGGACGGGCTTTAGGCCTCTCCAAAATACTGCGAAATATGAAAAACAAATTTAGTGATAGTACAATAAAATTCAATTATTTACCATTTAATATTGATCTATGGCTAACCTCTCAATCAACTGTAAAGCCAAACCCCTCGTTTGTGGATTGCCACTTTTTCCGCTGATTAGAGGCAATAGGTAATGCGCCCACGCATGCATCCCAACCACCAGATCCCCTTGAGAAGCCTGTACCACAAGTTCACATTACATGTATTAAACAAAGAGCGACAACTAAGGGCTTGATTGAGATCATTTTTTTTGGCGCATTTACATTCATAGCACACAATTTTTATGTATTTACAATTCACATCTAAGCTTTCATATTCTTATGTATTTACATATCAGACCTAAACTTTCATATTTACACACATGACGCTCAAATCTTTAATATCACATCAAAAATAGCATCATTACCACTTTTTGAAAGTTAAACATACATTTTCAATTATAGGTTTAAAACACCAAAGTGCCATTTATTTAAATATGAAAGGTTAACTGTGAGGCATGTAAATACAAAAGAATTGAGTGCGTATGTAAATTTCTCTTTTATTTTTTGTTTTTATTTTTATTTTTTTTTTATTTTTAAAAACATATTTGTTTAGTATAGTTTTTAAATACTATTTTTTTCTAAAAATAAATTAATATATTTTCAAAAATACTCAAAATAAATATATATGTTTTGAGTATTTTTAAAAATAACTATACCATAATCAAATAGGCAGGCATGTTTTGTTTCAAATCAAAATATAAACTAAACAAAAGAAAAAATAAAAAATAAAAAACAAAAAATACAAAATTGATCCCAAACAAGCCCGAAAGTGTTCAATCAATCATTTGCATTTGCTCAACTAGCTACCTGAGAAATCGTCCACACAATCACAGGAACCTTCTCCTGTCCTTGATATTGTGTATCATCTCTTAGTTTGGGTAGAAGACTAATGAGCACCTCGGGCTTTCGTCGAAGAGTCATGGCCAGTACAGCAAATATTGCGACCTGCACAAGTTAAGTGATTAGAACCATTATCAATAAACACTCATCTCGGTAAATACAACTGAATATGACTACAACTTATCATTTATGGCAAAAGAAAACTATTTTGCAATTATTTTACAAAAATATTTAACTAATTCAACCAGTCAATTATTTTACAAAAATATAAAACTCATTCAATTAGTTTTCTGACTCAAAGGTTTCAATCCTGCATAGCAAACTCTTCCGACTTTACTTAATAGGAATACCCATATGATCATAAGCTGAAAGAGTAAAATGCCTAAATAGTCCCTTGACTATTTATATGGAGGAATTTTAGTCTCACAGTCTATAAGAGCACTAAATAGCCCCCAGACTTCTTTCATATAAGCTGAAGTAGCCCCGAGGATTATTTTATCCCCATTAAAAGAGTGAGAACTAAATTTAGTACTTTTATAGACCTGGGGCTAAAACGACCCCCTAAAAAGTTTCAGGGTACCATTTTAACACTTCTCTCTAAGTTGAAATAATGACAAACTGCATTTTATGCAAATACAAATGGCATTTTAGCGAAAATTATATTTAAATGATTCTAAAGTCGTTTATTATGAAGTTGCCATTGTAAAAATGCTTGTATCTTTTTGAAACATCCATCTCCTCATAAAAGGACCAGTAAAGACTAGAACCATCCAAAGCATAAACAGATTTACCTCTATCAGGTTGAACAATTAGCACACTCCCAATTCTAATAGGGTTCCAACCACAAAATCTTGGAGCACGAAACACTATAGCCTAATCATCAATCCAAAGCTGCTGTGAAATTTAAAACAATCTTATCTACTAACCCGTAAGCATACCTACTACTGACCATGATCACACATCATGCAAAGTTACTAGCGATGTGAAACGTCTTCAAAGGAGTAAAGAACCAAAAAAATTTTTACTGTTTAGTCTCAGAGTCTATAAAAATGTCAAATTAGTCCTCAAACTCCTTAAATTGGAGCTGAAAGAGTCTTCTATGGGGACAATCTCATCCTCCGTTAAAAGAGTCCAAGGACTAAATTGGCATTGACATAGACTTCAGAATTAAAATGACCCCCTGTAAAGAATCAAGGAATTATTTTAACACTTTTCTCATCCTCAAAAAAATTAATTTGCTCATCCTTTTAAATAAAAAATAATACAAGACAAGCCGTGATAGAACAACAATAAATAGAGAAAATAATCAAATTGATCCTCAAATTATTTAGGTGCGTTCACTATGACTACAATTTTCTTTTTCTTTAATTTACTCCCTAAACTCATCTAAATTTGACCCCTCTGATCTTTTAATGTGACTCTTTTGCTCCATCAATTTGACCCTTCTGATAAATCGACTGACTAAACTGAAGAATAAGAAAATCCTGGAGCGAAAATGAGCATAACTCAAGTAATATACGGATCAAATTGGTCATTTTATCAAAAAAGTAAAAAAAATTAAAATTTCAAGCAAATCGGTGTAATAATTGTGCCTGATGGTATCCGTTCTTCTAGCTTCCTCCTTTCTTAAGGTTTTGAAAAACACTTAAAAAACATAGGTAACCAATTCAATAATATAGAGATATATTTTGGTGATTTAGGTGAACCCTAAACAAAAGAATTACATGATTAAATATGATAATTTAAATGGAAACACAAAAATCATCATCTGCTTTATGAAGGACCTTCTACTAATAAAGTTTAGGAGGAACGAAGCTTTTCCAATTCTCTCTCTTGTGTATCATCTGATTGGGAATGGGATGTATGGAGGGCAATATTCATAGTGAATGGTTATCAAACCCATATTCATAAGCTAGAAAGTTAATAAGAAGTTTTATATATTCCTACGCTAGCATATCATGTAACCACATGCTATAATAAATTGATTAGCGAATATATAAAATTGTAGTAAAGATAGGGCTAGGCTAAAACTCAGTAGTACTGTGCAAATTTAATAGAAATCATAACTATGAAGTTCATTCATTAGATATGTCTCTTAACAGTCTCAACAACTGTATTGAGTAAAAAAATTGAAATTTCAATGTTAAAGGCCAAAAAGTAAGATGGAGAAAAGAACATAATTGAACTTTTAAACATAGAGATGCTCTTTGGAGAAACTATTGGAACTTCAGTCTGATCTTCAAAGTTAGGTATGTTTATACAGGAGCACTCATGAATTGGTGACTTCCTGGGAGGTTGATCTAAGAAGCTCTGAAAGAAATTAGAAAAAAAAAATACCCTCATAAGGTTAAAAGTGAAAATATAAAAAGAGGAGGAAAATAAAATGCTACAATGTAATTTAAACTTCAAATTTAAGAGTTGGGTGTCAGATTAGAATGTGAGAAAAATTTATATAAAGACAATCAAGAAAACTACTAATATTCCTTTTACTAATTTAGCCACCTATTTCTAAGTGGTTGATCACCAAATAGAGACAGATCCAAGAAAATATTCCTCAATCTAAGTTATGGTTATCCATATTTTCAATGGTTCTAAGAATATTCAGAATATATTTCCTAAATATGAGTAATTAGTTAATTTTTAACATTTCCATAAATAGGATGCTTTGGAATGTGACCCTTCCTCTCCTTATGACACGCATTTCAAGGCCATCCAAGGAAGTTGGCTCTTTCTCTCACTTCTTGGTTAGATTAAGAAAAGCTCATATTCCTCCATAGAATCTATTCCTTGTTCTCCTGTAGTATTTTTATATAGTAGTTCAACTAGCCTCAGGCTCCCAAATCTAGATCATAGTTTAATATCAAAGCACTAGTTACAACAAATGGGATTCCATTATGGTTTGTAAGAGAATAATACAAAATTAGAAAGTTCTAAGCTAACAAAACCCATCAAATCAAGATAAGAATCAAAAGAAATTTGAAAGAATTGAAAGAGTCCCTACCAAATTTCACACATTATAGGTTTAAGCAAAATATGTAACAAGATGGCCACCATGTTAGCCACTCTTAAAAAGAATGTTGTTGAATTTGTAGCATCAATACAACATGAAGAAGATGAGAGTCAACCAAAATATTCAAACATCAAAATTTCTAATTCTTAGAAAATCCATAAAAGCTCTAATTTACCTTTAAAAGTAACAAAAAGAAAGAGAAGATAGAAGAGGATCAATCACCTCATTGCTTGAGATGACTTATCAGCTTCAGCTTTAATTCAAGATTGATCAATAGAAAAATGTCAACTTCATCAAAAAGGTTGAGCATCAAGAAGATTTTAAAATAAGAATATATATATATATATATACCCGCATGAAGGTAGAAAAGCAAATCGAAAAAGATGTGGAATTAAATTGCAAAAATACAATTTAAACTTCAAATTTAGGTGTGGATGGCCAATTTAGGATATGAGATAGATTTATTTAAAGAAAAACAACGAAATTACCCAAAATCTCTCAAATTTCTCCATCAATTTTCATATGATTGATCACCCTTTAAGGAGAAATCCAACAGAATATTCCCTCAATTCATGATATGATCATCAATAATTTACACAATTGTTACAAGGTACCTAAATTTGTGCAATTAGTCAAATTTTCGATAGACAAGTGTGTAGCTCCTATATTTCTATAACTAAGATGCCTTTACAATGTAGCTTTCAAGCTTGAAGAAATTGAATAACTTTTCCTCCTTAATCCCCTTTATCCTCTTCTACAGTTATCAACTAAAGAGGTAAATGTGCCTCTCTCTATAGTAATTATGGCCACCCAAATCCATAAAAGGCAAAGTTCCAAAGATCAAGGTCATTGACTCTTCTCTCACTTCTTGGTTAGATTAAAGACCCAATATTAGAGAATCTCTATTCCCTTCCTACTACTTTCTTATTTATTCCACAAATCTTCCAAACCCCAGTTCTAGAACAAAGTTACCCCAAAGGAACAAAACTACTATGTCATTAGGTCAAAGTAATAGCTTGATGGTTAAATTTTGATCTATTACATATGATATCAGAGCAAAAACATAGATCAAAGGTGAGAACTAAGTGACCTATTGCACAAACAACAAAGTGTTACCCCATGAGCACCACTTTTCGAGCTCACATCAGAACAAAGTGGCAGATATGGGAAGTCAACTTTTGACCTATAATATACACTTCTAAATATTATATGCCCAGAGAATGATTTGAGCTATGTGTAAGGATACTTAGACCCATCAAATAGACTAAGAATAACATTTAGCTAGGCTAAATCAGAAACTAAAATGTTTTTCCTTGCCAAGGGTGGCATAAGCCTCAAAGTGGATTGAGGCATAAACTCCAAAATAAAATAAAAAAAACTCATAAAATTAAAATATTAATTCATAAATATGACATAAATCATAAATATCAATATTAAATATTAATATAAAATGAAACTTTAAAATGAGATTCAAAATAAACGTTCACTTAAAATTTAAGTACATTATAAGGATTCAAATCCATAGCGGACTCATCCCCACATTCATCATCTTTAGACAAATCACTATATCTCATTAACATTTCACAATGTTCTTCAATCACTATATTTTCTTCTTATCAAATCTATCAATTAAGTAATCATATTTAAATAAAGTTTTTTTTTTCTTTAGGTATTGTATGAAATATATGATATATATATATATTACTTAATCTGATTGAGGCACCGTCTGAAATGCCTCGAGGTGCACGCCTCAGACCAAAAAAGCGTGAGTCTCACTCCTGATAGTGAGGCTTAAGCCTCAATGAATTTCTTGTGCAACTTAGTTTGAGGCATGTCTCGAGTTGTTCGCCTCAAATGCCTTTTTAAACAAGAAATAAAATTGAGCTCTCGGCATTTCTTATAGAATAACAATTGAAACTTCATTGAAAATTCCAAAGTTAAATGTGGTCATATAGGAGCACTTCTATGATGGATGGTGTCCAGGGAAATTATGTTGGCGGACAGAAGTATGAGGGCATTAGCCCAAAATGAATAATATATTAACAACTGAGAGTTGGAGCTATTATGACAAGTAAGAGAAAATTAGGAGCAAAAT